TCATTGATTCGAGAGAAGGAAGCACCACCCCACTCAGCAGCTCTGCAGAAAGAAAACTACAACTTTAGAGCCGAAACCATGAACGAAAAATAAAACGATGGAGGAGCAATGGAATACTCACTGTTTTCCTCAAAGTGGCTGGGCACACGCCCGCAAATCGGTCCATCGCCGACCAGCCACCGTCCGCCAACAAAGAACCAATGGTTCTTCTAGTGCTTGTTCGAGGTAAGAGGCCCAAAGAGTACTCCGTGATGGGAGCATAAACTGTAAAACCCTGGAAAGCCAAAGATGGAATTCATCATCGTTAATGCGGTAAACAGGCCCAGGGTCATCTATTCCCTGTTGCCGAGCTCCGACCAGACTATGGCTAGGGCCATTATCATACCTCAAGCATTAGGGCAAGCTGCACGAGTGCAACCCGAGCAAAAGAAAAAAAAAGACTTGGCAAATAGGGAGAGAGGAAGCCTCACCTCATTGGGAAACATCTGAGATAGAAACTCACCTACCTGAGGGGGAGGTGGAAGGTGTCAACCCTCTCGTCCTCCGATGAGAGACGCATCAGGACATAGTCGGGGATACAATGTGTTGAGCAAATATCTATGAGGCCTGCGATGGAACGTGGGTCATAGGGAGACGATTGACAACAAGGGGAAGTTCCTACAACCGACCATAGCGAATATGAGAGCACAAAGAAGTTGGGGAGGCGAGTAACGTATGGAGCAAGGTGAACCACCATCACTCTTCACCGGAGAATTAAAAGCCTCCTCAAGCGTCGTTTCAAATCCCAACAGCACTCGAAATCACAATCACCAACTTTGCCACTACGTTCACCGCACGAGGGACACGACCGCCTACGAAACGGCAACAAGCAATTGTTCCCTCATAAGTGCGGTCGTACGGGCCAACATCAGGCCATCACGACTACTACACAAACGTGGGCCCCACATCCTGATTCGAAAAGACCCTCTACAATGCGTGCCTCACCACAGCACGCACCCTACTTTACTCCAACGCTTTTGGACCTGGCTTCCTCCTGGCTGAGCAGCCCGACCCCAAAAGAGGGCTAATTGTTGAGGGTAAAACCGAGTTGGACATACGTCACCATCTACGAGGTGCATGACCATAGGCGATTAAACATTGTACGTTGCAATGTAAGGAGAGCGCGCCTCCACTCATGCATTTAAGGAAGCATGCCGAGCACTACGACAAGACAACAGGCAAAGGTGCCACCCACTGATTGTCGGGGGTGTACACTCCCCATTAGACGCCGTACAGCCCGGTGCACCCTTGCCATCCCAACCGCTGTCCTTCCTGATCGGCCACCCGAGCCTATATAAGGGAAGGACCCTCACCTTTGCCAAGTAAGTGAAAAATCTGTCACTAAACCCTAAAAGTGTCTTTTCCTATTTCCTACCCCGATTTCAAATTTGGGCGTCGAAGTGTATTAGGCGGGACACCGCACCGATATCGAGTTTTTTTATTGCATACTCATTTGATCCTTGACGAAGTTGCTCGTCCGAAGGACACGTGGACCTCTCCAAAATTTGCTGTCAACAACATATATATAGATATATTGTCTATACTTTTACAATACAATATCAATTAATCCCCAATGTCATGTCAAAAACTATTAAAATATCAAGATGTAAAATAGTTTCCAATACTTAATAGTTTACGCTTCAAATACTATTTTGAAGCCAATTTGAGCGTAACTTAATTAGTTCAAAGCATATATTAACAACTTTTAGTTTCCAATACTTAATATTTTACGCTTCAAATACTATTTTGTCACCAACTTGAGTGTAGCTAAATTAGTTAAAGCATATGTCATTGACCAAAAAGTCGTTAGTTCGAATCCCCATGTTGTACTAATAAAATACACATATATACACATACATATATATATATATATATAATTTGGCCAAACTGTTTGGCTTCTTCCTCAAAAGTCAGAAATTCAATCCTCTATCCTCAAAAGTCAAGTTAATTTTGGTCCCCTATTTTGCTTCTTCCTCAAAAGTCAGCCGTTTAAAAACTATGTTTGGTCCTTGTACTTTCGAGTCAAGTTAATTTTGGTCTCTATACTTTTAAACATTGACCATTTTGATCTATATTCGAAAAATGTAACATAAATTTAACTCTATAATACAAATTTATGGCTGCCTTTAAAATTTAAGGAGTGAAATGTTACTAAAATTTTAATTGAAATTAATGAGATAAAATGAAAATAAATGGACCAAATTGATCACTTTTTTTAAATAATAAACGTTTCAAAAATACATAAACTAAAATGAATAAAAATTAAAAGTATAGAGACCAAAATCCATTTTGAAAGTACAAAAACCAAAATAAACTAAATTTTAAGGAAAAGGACCACAACATTATCTAAACCATAGTTTAATTATATGCAATTTCCTTGGCTTAACCTCTCCTTGTCCTTTCAGGTTCACTCACCATGCAATTAAGAGGATTTACCTGAGACCATTTCAACAAAATATAAGCCACTAAACAGTTAGGAACAAAAAATAGTGCACATTCTCATGTACAAATTCTCAGATTTTCTTATTAGAATAAATGAATGAGACTTCGGTTTCTTATATTAGCAAAAAATAATAATAATAATAAATAAATAAATAAAATTACCTTTAACATACACTGAAAGAATATTATAAGTTGACAGGAAATCAACAAATCGAGAAACCTTGAACTAAAGAAAATAAGCGAGCATTCACATATACATTAACTTCGATAAACATTGATATTAATACTTCTAATGGCACCATCCAAATTAAAAAATCACTAGAGAAGGTTTGCTCTTTCTTGATGAGAAGTCTTTATAGTGATTATCACACAGTTTATCAAAATCAAGAAATTTGCATTTCTTCAGTCAGGAAGGTCAAGAATTACTTACAGATGTTTGTAAGGCGGCTGCTGCTGCAAGTATCAAAAGACTTTATAATCATAGAATTATTGTAGAAAAGAAGATGGTAAATTCCATTGAAGGAGACAAGATTTAAGGATTCACCTAACAAGAACTTTAACCATACTGTATAACTTTCCCGAGGAACTAACTATTGCCTAATCTGCAAAAAAAAACATTTTGTTTTAAACTGCTTCCTTACCTAAAACCTTCCATTCTATCAATTTCTCACGTAACTCGTCCGCCTGGTCCTTAAAACCAGCAGATGCTATGCTGCTAATTATAGTAGAATAAATTGTCTCGTTCGGTTTACATCGAGCTGATAACATCACTTCCAGCACTTGTATAGAAAGATCAACCTTCTCATTTATGCACAGTTCATGAACCAGAAATGTGTAAGAACTACTACTGATTTTGCGTCCTTTCTTGATAAACCCCTTCAATATCTCCACAGCTTCTTCGACTTCGTTCGCTCGACAATACCCCCAAATTAGAGCACGATGGGTGATCTCGTCTGGTACTATCCCATTTTCAATCATTTGACTGTACAATCTCATTGCTTTCTCCATTTCACCCTTTTTTGATAATCCATCAATCACAATATTGTAAGAAATTAAACCGGGAGAGCAGCTTGTGCCGGTTAAAAGGTGAAGTAATTGAAAAGCCTCATCTACTAATCCCTCCTTACTAAGAGCACCAAGTAGAGTGTTGTACGTTATAATGTCGGGTAAACAATGATAGGAAAACATTTGGTTGAGAAAGTTGATGGCACGATCCAGAAGTCCATTTTTACACAGACCATTAATCAAGATGTTGTAAGTGACAACTGTTGGAGGCTGGAAACTCTGACTCATGATTGTTAGGATTTCATCAACTTCGTCCCAACGCCCGCGCCTTGCTAGTGAATGGAGAAGGGTGTTGTAAGTCACAGCATTGGGTTCCATTCCATGATCAAGAAGATCATTTATAACTAAAGTTGCACCTTCAAATTTTCCCTGTTTGCAGTTTAAATTRATCAAAGAATTGTATGTGACAAGATCAGGATAACAACCCTCAGCAGCCATTTCCTCCAATACTTCAATAGCATGAAGTGTTCCACGATGCTTGCAGACTAGCTCGATGAGGATCGTGTAAGTTATTAAATAAGGAGGAGTTCCTTTTCTGAGCTGTTCCTTCCAAAATTCAACAGCCTGATCAAAATATCCATTGTCACACATGCAGCGGATTACTGCATTATACGTAATCACATCAGGAGGGCAACCACTCAAACTCATATCATCCAAGAGCTCAATGGCAGATTCTAAATGTCCTTGCTTACATAAACCACCAATAACCATGTTGTACGTAATAACATCGGGAACACCACCAGACATCACCATGATTTTAAGGACTTGTACAGCTTTATCCAATCGATCGATCTTCACAAACCCACGAATTAAGTTTATGCAACAATGGAATTCTGGAATCTGGTTTCGACGAGCCATAATATCAACTAACCTAGATGCTTCCATCAACTTCCCCTTGTTGCAGAATTTCTGTAAGATCTCATTGTTGGTTTCTCCATCATTTCCAACAAAGGGCCCATCCAGATACAACGATGAACCATTATGAGAACTGAGCCTCTTTTTAGTCATTTGCTCAAACAAATTTCTCTCAACCTTTACCTCATGGCCATTCAAAGCCAATTCATCTTGGTATGCATCATCAACTCTATCAATGCAAACACTCCTCTGCACTCCTCTACAATGTAAAACTCGTAGTTTCCGGAATAAACCAAGATTTGCACTCCAATGACAGCTATATGAACTACTGCAACTAGACTTGCACAAACAATTCAAGTGTAAAGCAGATGGTTTTTCCATCGGGCATTGGGCTATACAAGTACTAACATACTCTTGTTTAGAACACTCATGCAGACCATGAGCTGTTACCGTATAATTCTGAAAGGTCAATGTATACGCCATCAAATCACTCTCAGACTTAAATAGGAACGGGGAATACTTCAAAGCTCTAAAGCGGAGGATATAATCAATACCCAGTAACCAGCTGCTTCATTCAACTTAATCTAACCAATGAAGAATTGGTACTTAAATGTAGATAGCTCACTTACAGAACCCAAAAGTGTATTTGCTAATGCCTCTGCACCCTCGTTGCAACGGACATCTACAGTATGAATCCGCAGGTTAAAGTAGATTTCCAGAACTCAAAAAATTGGAAAAAGATGAAACGCATATAATCACAAACAAAGCAATCCGGAAAAACGTAAAAGCAGGCAGGCAATTGCACGACATTGAAACGAGAAACTCAGTAACAAATAATCCAACAATAACTCCCGAAAATCCGAGTTGGGAAACGGAACGGAGAAACAATTAGTGATAGTAAAGATAACGGATATCGAATAGCAGCAGAAAATTACCCGAAACTTTGAATATGGAGACTGAGAAGAGGAAAAAAGAAGATCCAAACGAAGCGAATTAACAAAAGCAGTTAAAAAATTCAAGAACATACCGGCGGGTTCGAAGAATGGAGCGGAGAGAGAGAAGAAGAGAAGATTATGTTTTGAATTTCCAGCTGCTGATAAAGCTGATGGACGGGCGTTAATAACTAGGGCTTTATTCCTTTACATTTGCAAATTGCAATTTGTAACCCTTTGTCTAACAATTAAAATATTTTAAATGATTTATAATTCTTGGAGAGAATTTAATTTTGAGTTTTACATATACTTCAATTTTTGCTGACTGTTTCAAACAAACAAACAAAAAAAATTGCTGATTCATCCACTAATCTATAATCGATAATCTATGACCTATATCTATAATCTATATTAAAAAGGCACCATCGCAGAAAAATATTTTAGGATCATTATGCCCCTTTAATTTTTACTTAATTACAAATAAATAACTCAAATTAATTTTAATCTATAAAATATAATGCATGTTTGATTTTAATAATAAAATAAAATAAATTTTAATTTATAAATCTAACTATTATAAATATAGACAATTAATTATGTCAATAAATAATAAATTTGTGAAATATAAAAGGTTGGGATGTAAAAGGTTTTTGTTAAAACTTTTAAAAATTCCTTTAATTACCATTCATGATGGAATTTCTAAAGATTTGTAACTTTTCATCATGTATTACTATATAAATTTGAGCTTTCTTCCACCATTTTATTCACAAATACTTCTCCATTCATTCTTCTTTTTAGTGCTCTCAATTCATTGTTCTCAAATAACTTCAATCTTGAAAGATATCTTCAGATTTTGGTGACATATTTAAGTTGCAAAGAAGCATATTGTTGGATGTATATCTCGAATCCTAGACTGTGTCGTTTCAATAACACTTGGTAGTGAAATGTGTTTTCTATTTGAGCCAAGATTTTTCATCTCTATAATGGTGAATTCTAGAGTACAATCATGAACTTGAAAGTATTAGAGATTCCTAGAAGCATATTATCAAGAAAATTGGTGACTTGATGATAGGGGAGCCAACCACTGAAGCCTCGCAGTTGTTCACATCACAATTTCTTGATGTTTTATGTAGTTACAATAATTTTCTTTGTTTGTTGATCGTAGTGCCAATATATAAATATAAATATAAATACATAGATAAATAAATATATATATATATATATATTGCGGTATTTGATTGATTTCATGCCATGCAAATGACGTTCTAAAATTCTACCACATTGAATAATAGTATTAGTCAATCAAGTATCAAGTGAGAAAATTTATTTTAATGAATGAGTCTATGTCTAGAGTATTAGATGTTTTTTTTTGTTTTTTTTTCTTTTATAATTAATGTATTTTTTTATTTCAAATGTTTGGTGAGAAATTAATAATTTATTGATCATAATTACACGCTAATCTTATTTTTTGAAAAAAAAATGTCGTTACAAAATTTTTAATTAATTAATCAATTATCAATAATAATTGGTAAGTAATCTAGATAGTTAGAATACAAAATTTTGTTGTCATTTTATTCGTCTAGAAGTTAAAAAATTTTCAAATAATAAGTATAATTATAATATGAAATTAAATAATTAAAATAAAATTTATTGAAGTTGAAAAATTTTAATGTATGACATTAAAAAATATTAGGTTGAAGAATCTTTATAAGTTTGATTGAAAAAAATGTGGAGTTAAAAAAAATAAGGAACTGAAACCTATATATATTAATAATAAACAAGATAAATGTGAATGATATAGAAAATGTAAAACATCACCGAATTACAATACATAAATTAATTTAAAATGTAATAAGATATCACATTGATGATTGATTTGRTTTATGTTTTTTATTTAGATATCATTTTTTAATTTTTAACTTGTTTTATTAATAATAATTATCTTTAATTTTATATTTTTACAATTACAATAATTATAATAATAAAATATATTTAACAAACTTATGATATTTTTACAAATTTAAAGCACATACTAATTTAGTTAAATAAATTAGTTTTATAATAAATAAAATCAATATTTTTATTACGTGCATTACGCGTGGTATTGAACTAATTTTAACAAAAGGTAGTAAAGTCCAGCTTTGATTAAAATTAATTAAGTTGGATTAATGTAGAAAATGGATCGGGCAAAACTTAGAAATTTCAACTGAAAATGAAACTAGCTCTAGGAGAACTTTTTCCTTTTTTTTTTAGCCAAGAAAAATATTATCAGCAAGGAACCACACCACAACGGGTTACATTTGAAATATGACCTCTATAGGCCGGATGTAGAAGTCAAGTGGGAAAACACCTATCTCAAAGAACAGAAAGGTCAAAACGAGAAGCTCATTTGTCCAAAATATCAGCCTGGATATTTTGCCTGTGACTAATATGAACAAACTGAAGTCCATTGAAACTTTTATCCAGCTCCACAATATCCGACGCCAACAAATCTTCTTCCTTTCGAGACGCCACCTCCCATTTACTAGCTGAACAACCTCCAAACAATCCGACCGAACCACCAGATTCTGAAAACTAAGCCAGACCGCTAGACGAAGAGCCTCCCTAATCCCCAAAATCTCCAATGGAGAGGGGAATACCGAACCTCAAAAAAATTGGTCAAAGCCTACTCCGAAGACAAAGGGATACACCTACAACAATGTCAATTCCTGTCCTAGGAGAAGAACTCGAACAAGGTGCATCCACCCACATTTGGGTCCATTCTATAGGGCATCTGAACACAACGATTAAGGAGACGACATTATCAATCGGTGAGACGTCCTCCGAGCATTTATATGGTGATATGACTACAGATACGAGAGGATCCATTGACCCCTAATAATAGGATCTTGGAGTTGTTTCCTGTGACACATATTGTTTCTATCACCCTGTAAAGCCCAGTACACCAAAGCCGCCATATTTAAATCCATCGGTGTAAAATAGCACATTAACCACTCCAGATCATAATAAAAGATAGAGGTGTAGAATCTGGAATACAAAAGGAAGGGACATAAACTCTCCACATGTCAGAGGCTCTCTTGGATCTTAAGAGAGTGTGAACAATAGACTCCTCCTTCGCATTACACAAAGGACACTGGTAAGAGTTGTCGAGACTCTCCAAAATAATTACTGATTTTACTAAATTTAACTTGTAGAAGTAGTGAGACCAGGTCGAATCCCAAGGGAACCAATGAAATTAATTTCTCAAATCTACAAAATGGGGGGTTTTGTATTTAAATTTTGAAATTTAAAAAGATAAACTAAAAGGAAAAAGAAAGTCAATCTTACCAAACTTCCAATCTAAATGTGTGATCTTAATCAAATTGTAATCTTGATCATAGGCTTCACAAAAAATTGATTTCTTAATTCAAGAACTTAGTCTACTTACTCGGAACAACCGTGGTAAGTTTTAATTCTCTTAATTTAATTAATTTAGATCAAGTATCAAAACTAAATCTTATTAATTAATCAACTGGACTCGATAGTGTTCCATATTAATCAAAGAATAGCATTAAGGATAATGAGAATGACTAAACCAAAATCAATTAATTTGAGATAGCTGCAAGTTAATTAATTTTGTCTCTTTGTTTCCATAGAGTCTATTATACAAGCTATGTAAATATGGAAAATCCATAAATGCACACACATAAGCCAACTCCTTTCTACTTATTTCAATCATTCATAACAATTACGGATCACAAACTCATAGATAGTAGTAGAACAATTAATATAAATTAAGACGTCAATTTAATTAATATAAACTGTTCATAAATAATAAGAACAAGAAACAAAGAAGAAAAAGAATAAATCTCTATCTAACTTGAGCCTCCCAAACTTACAATCAGACTTGAATCACCCCTTGAGTTGGAAGAATTAAACCCTAGCCACTCATGGTAGAGGGAGAGAACTTGAATTTAGGAGAAGAGAGTTTTTAAGGAATGATGGATCTCCCAATAAGGCTTCTCTATTTATAGAGATTAATTTTATCCTCTTTTAAGGAGGAATTATCATAATAAGAAATTAATAACTAGTTGGGAAGATCTATTTAAAAGAAAACCAATTAAATAAAAAAGTTCCTAATCAATTAAGGATTATGTTTCCTACTTTGATTATATATCTTTATTTACAAAATATCCTAAAAATCCATAATTCTCAAATTGAAGCATCTAGCCATAATAATTGTGTCTGTATTTTATCCTTTGAGCTCTCCCCAATTTGGTGAAGTCCGCATTATCCTCTAAAATTTCACTTTTAAATTATTATTCTTGAATATCTTCAATCTGCCACAAAATGATAAATTATAATTAAATTCAAATATTTAAACATAATAAATTAATAAAACATAAAATAAAAATATAAAATATGGGTGTATTTTTCATCTTATCAGGCATAATAGGGGAAACATCAATACCTCTGTGATTCAAGATACTATTTGTCGGGATAAAATTTTTGCAAGCACGCCAGATAAAATGCTTAACTTTAGAGGAACGTGAAGCTGGCAAATATTTTTCCAAACTACCTGGTTACTTTTATCAGGGATGATGAAGCCGAAATCTTGAGGTTCATAAAAAGTTTATAGTCACTCTTGACACTGTAGGTTTCAAGTTTGTTGTAATGCAACTACCAACTATCACTTTTGTTTGGTTTTATGCCCTAAACTCGTGGTTTGTAAACATAAAAACAAATGTTTATTCAATAAAGTTGTTATTGATGATTCTTTTAGAATTGCATTAACCAAAATCCAATAAACTAACATCTGAGGTTATGTCATGTAACTGGAACAGTACATAACAGATATACAGTATATATTTAACATACAACATATATATTTGATATATAGTGTATATATATACAATAATATACATTCGATATACAGGTGGATAATGTTCCAGTAATAACCTAAAGGGTCTATAGTATATGAATAAGGTTGGGTGCCTTATCCTAGTAACACTATAGATACGACCCACTTTGCAATAGTTGCAAATGACTTGATTCAGGTCGTTCGTGTGGAGACATGCGAGTGGAGGTATCCTATGCAATGAGTTTGTATAAGATCGGACAGCGAAATAATTAATCTTTAGTTGTAACACCGTTAGCTAATACATTAATATTTCAATAGGATGACCAGGTAACTCGATCTCAATCCTGAGTGAGTTATGACAT